GGGAAGGTGACGACACGACGGACGATACGTCAAGAAAAGGCTCGAGATTGTGCCCTGTATCGCCAGAAATGAGATGGGTTTTGCCATCTCTGAGGACAAAACTCACCGACGCACTCTGTAGAAGAGCTGAAAAGGATGGATGTGACTGCAGAAACGATAAGCCGGGCAAACGGTCGCTGGCAGTAGTGCAGCCTACAGTAGAAGACTGAGCAGCGAGGGCCTCATAAATGGCCTGTTTTGTGAGGGGCGGCCTGGGCTCATAAGTCTGCCCGTCGATGGAGGCAAAGCGGAGGAATGAGACACCACTAGAGGGTCGCTGCTCAAACTTCTCGGGGGTTTCATTGTCTTGAAGGATAACGGTGTCACCAGAATCACTTAATGGCGATTCACCCCCGGAGCTGACGGACTCCATTTTGGATTGGTCCTACTGACTGCCCGACCTAGGAGTAAAAAAGTTCCTCAAGTGGTTCAAGCGAAATTAATAAAACTGAGATTGGTGTAGAAAATAAAAATACTATGTACTCGGAGCGAAGGTGGCCATGGACAGTAATAAAGGTTAGGGGATAAACTTGGTTCCATGCTTCTCATAGAAAAATGACAAACCGCTTTCTTGTGGAATATAGCAAACATTGTTCTTCCTTAGAAATAAATGCCAATTTTCCAGCACACTCAAAAAGTTATTGCATTAGAAATCTGTCTTACGAAAGCTTAAAAACCAAGGCAACTGCCCATCACGTTGGTTGGAATAAGCAACCATCGATACCACTTCAGAATGCAAGAATGTCTTAGAACTACTTATCTAAAGAGACCACAGTTGGTGCTTATTTACCTTACGTCATGTTTTAGGCTAGGAAGACCGCAAAATAGGACGGCTGAAAACTCCCAAGTGAACTTTACTTGGATGGCACGTCAGTCATTAGGAAAGCTCTCAGGAAAGAAGAAGAGCTCGAGGAAAACTTCCAGTGCCAAGCATGTCTTAATTCGGTCACCGACTTTATTTGAATAGTGCCCTCTGGGCGCTTACAATGAAAAAAAAATATATCATGAAACTAAGCGCTTACATTCATACTTGTTTAAGCCGGACACTAATGGTTAATTCGCTGTTCGATTACCTCTGCCATCACTCGTCGGACAAGAAGTCTGAGCCAAGGTTTTAGAAGCCCTTCGTCATCATCCATTGTACCAGAACAAACATGTGATTCCATAAGCCGAGATCATTGTCGTCCTTTCGAAGGTACCGAAATTTATGACGCGCTTCGACCGCTTTTGGGACTACTCCGGGCACAGCGCAAGACACGAATGAAAAGTGCAACGTACCGCAATGTAACAGACGCAAACACGATCTAAAATGTACAGACTATTGATAATTTTGGCGTCCGGATGGTGTGCCGACGAAACTGAAGGAGTTCAATCAGATGCACAATTGAGAAGTGCTGAACAATTGTTTCTGAGGCAAATTATGCGTTTGCTAGAGATCCCTGCGGTCAACTCTTGTAGGTGAAAACCACAAACGTCACAAACTAGAGGAGGGGGTAGTCGCTAAATTTTGTGACGTTCGGGGGGTGAAGTATTATCCTCCTTATCTGAATCTCAATGCAGAAAGATCTTCCTTCCGCACTGCTTTTTCCTTCTTATCCAATTGGAAACCTAGACATGATCGTTCCCTTATTGTGGGCTTAAGAGTTTAGCACATCAAACTGAACTCCTTCAAACCTTTATACATGTGAACCAATAGTTTTTCACTCTTTTAAACCGTCACCACCG